ATATATATATATATATATATATATATATATTATCCAAATGGTCTTGAGTTAATATTGCAAGAGTACTAAGGCATGATGTTATCTATTTGTTTAAACCCAATCTTGGCGAAATCCTACTTCACATTTTCATCAAGATGTGTGTGTGTTTGTGTTTCTCTCTCTCGTTTATATATAAGTTGTACATGATGGTGATGGTGCTAGTGCTAAATGGTAGACATATTTCTATGCATTTGAAGAATCTTATCACAAGCATAGGGCTCTGATTGTTCTCACGTATAAATGTAATAATTTGAATGCCCTTTTGCCCCCTTCTCAGAGGACAATAATGTTGGGACGCTGGCTCCAAGAATTCAGCTTGCTATGTGGGTAAGCATTGTGCAAAACAGCACCTTTTGTTCATATATGTCTTTACTTAACTACTGGATTGTTTTTTATGTTTCAGGATTTTGGCCAATGTGACGTACGAAAATGTACTGGGCGCAAGCTTGTCAGATTTGGCCTCTTGAAGGATAGTATTTGGCCCTTCATAGAGTGTAATTTGCTTTCTTTCATGGATTGTCTTTTTTCAGAGTTATTAGGAATTTTCCTTGAGATTTTGCATTTATTTTATTTACTTTCATAAATTAATCATTTCAATAGAATTATTGGCATGGTCAACTTAGCTCTATTACGGGCTTTTGTAACTTGAACAATTCACTATAAGCAAGTACTAATTTTGGTGTATATTTATTTTTGCATGTTAAAATTCTGTCTGATGTAGTTCAAGTGAATTGCATGCAGAAACAAATAAACACACCAAAATCTGTACTTATTTAAAGTGAATTGCTCCAGTTATAAAGCTCCGTCATAGATCTAAGTTAATTATGACAATAATTCTGTTGAAATGATTAATTTATGAAAGTTAATAAGAAAAATGTAAATTTTGAATGTTGATCTCTGAATGTAGACCTTTAAATTTGATATGGCATTTATAGGTCTACATTCAGATTTAGTACATGGTAGGGAAAGTAAAACTGGGAAATCATTCCATAAAGATATAGATTTAAATTTGTGCGAGGTAATATAGCCCCACATGAATTTGGCTAGAACAATTTGCTGCAGAATACATATATAGATAGCTGAAGCTAGATTTTAATGCTACCTTGGAGTTCAACGAGCATGATAAGTAAAAAGACTTGGGCAAAGTGTATGGTCTTTGGTCTAACATGTAAAGCATATGAAATGTATTTCAATCCCCTGTTTTCCTTGTCTAGACAATTTATTTTGTTTCTTAATCCTGCGACCAGACTAATTATTATCAAGAAGTTAGCTCCATTCTGATCTCAAGGCAGATAATTTGACATGTTATATGAGCGAATTTTTTCTATGAGTTGGTTGAGGGGCCTAAAATAGATAAGTCGACTTTGCATGAAGTCTAAAATCACATATCAGGGTAGGTGAATATGTTTATCATGCAAATTTTATAATTAGCAAGTGCCACTAATTGTTTGAAGTACGATATGCTTCAATAACTGACACATGTCTAGAAAATTTTACAGGATTTGCGGGTGAATAATGCTTTTCGTGGCATTGTATTGAGGTATTCAACAGTTTCGAATCTTCGTCTTTACTTTTCCTGTTGTATCTGTTACTGTGGCATTTGCATAAGCAATATTTGTGGAATTTAAATTATTTTTAACTTTTGTTTAATTCACTGTTTGTTATTGTGTGAGCTTTCTTTGTGATGGATGCCATTACTTCTATCTGTTTTTAAAGGTTATTAATAACAAATTTTTTTTGCCTGACATAATAGACATTTGGATTTTACTTTTTTTTTGAGTTATATGATAATTTCATTTTTTTATATATTTTTTCTTATAATCATGGTAAACCAATTCGTGTTGACTTTCTTTGGTTGTTTACTGTTGCTGCAGCCCTGTAGGGACGCAGTGTGTCTCAAAGGAAGACCATCCGTTGATTAAGCGACAAGGATTGGCTGTGGTGGACTGTTCGTGGGCAAGATTGAAAGATGTTCCTTTTGTGAAACTTCATTGTCCCGCACCACGCCTTTGTAAGACACTTAATGCCATATAATATTTTTACCATCTAATATTTTTAATCTAGAAGGTTCGGGCTCAAATCTGCCTTGTCAATTCCGCTAACATCATATTTTGTTGTATGTAGAATGGAACAAATAAATCATTTAGTGTCTTTTAAGTTATGAATTAATGTCTTGCAAGACGTTTGGAATCACAGGTTGTCTACCCAATTTTTGTTACTTCTATTTTGTAAATTTTTTGGCCCGAACTTGAAATTTAATCGTGAACTCCTTGTTGTGATGTACAAATTTATTTGTAACTAGAACTAGTAAGCCCTGGAGTCTTTTCTATTTAAGAGGAATTTGGATAACTTTTTAAGCAATACATTGTTTAGAATATATTGTCACCCCTTTCTGTTCAAGATATCTGAAAGGAGACAGCCTATGGTTTCTAATCATATATACTTTGGATGATGGGGCTTTCGGCCTTCCATTTTTGGCAAACCACCGACATTGGAACAAGAAATTTTGCCACTTTGATCGGGTTTAATTACTTCTCTCCATCTGTTCCCTTCGCTACAAATCTAACTTTCAATTACAAATTTATAGCACATGTAATGTCCTTGGATCATATGTTCTTTCATAATTATTTTTAGGATGTAATTAACTATAAAGGCGTATGCATATGAGAGATCTCTTACCCCACATAATAAAAAAATCACAGCTGGCCTTATGAACTAAGCCGAGGGAAATCTCTGGGATGAGTAACATAATTTGTCTTTGAAACTTCATGATGCTTTGCATCTATCACGACAAGGGATTACCTGAGTTCATGAGCGCTTTTAGTCCCCACGCAACTGCTGCAGTTTCCTAATTTTTTATTGATAATGAAATTTTCTATTTTGAAAACTCTTCTTTCTACTTGATAAAATTCTGCTCCGAACTTTTTGATTTCCAAAACCAGCCCCACAAAATGGCCATCTAGCACTCCCCACACTCCACTTTATCGACTTTTTGCCCCAAGCCCCTACCGTCCAGGTTATCCTCCCTCCAATCTTGGAAAGTTATAACATTTTTTCTTCATAAGATTTCTCCATTTTTTCCTTTCCAAAATATCTCATGTTCAAATGCAACCCCCCTCTAATTTAGAATAAGATTTCTTACAAAAATTTTAAAACCCTTTACTACATCTTTCAGTTTTAAAACTTGTCAAATCCTTCCTAATCTTCAGTGTAAAAACATGCCTACTCTTTTAGAGCAATATTTCCCGAAAATTCCAACTGAAATACTTATTAAGTTGATAATCAAATCCCAACTAATTGCTTTCTATATCTACTTTGCATCGTGTCAATTGAATCCAAGTTGTTAATCAAGAAAATTCCTACTATCTGCTCACAGTTCTTCGAAACTAAGCAATTGTTTCAACCAAAGCTACCTAAATATTCAACTCTACTTCAACTTGTAACTACCCCCTGCTTGTTGTTTTCAACAAAAAACTAGGGAACCAACCATTTCTCCTTTTGCCAAATTTGAATACTACCCCAAATTGTATTATTTTAATTGGGATGATGATCTTTCTGGTAATCACGGTTCATATCATTAAGCTCGTTTTCATACTACGATCATTTTCTTAATTCACAATGACATCATATCAATCTTGATACTCAAGATATATGATCTGTGGTGGGATCTTGAATTCAGATCATCTACATCACTAGCTGACATCATACATCATAGAGTTTATGCTGACGATCATCATATTATTTGTAGGTTCATTTTGAATATTATCATCAACCTCCTTGACTGACTTATTATGTTGATCAATCACCTTGATCCTCACATGTTATTCAAGTTTAATAGCATTAGTCTTATGAATATATTCTCACAATTTTCATATCATCTACTATGTTTGGGATTGATGTTTTGATTATTATGACTTTCTATCTGCTCTTCTACAAATTCAATCTCTTATATGGATCTCGAAGTTCGCAATGAATAGAGAAGTCTGAATTCTCTGCCGCTTACTAAGATTATTATACACGATGCTACTCAGTTCTTGATATTATTACTTCGTTATTTTGACTGATTAAATTCATATTTCTACGACCACTACACTATACTAGTATCGGATTCTTTCCATGTTATTAATTTGATTCATGATATATGTTGACATTTATCTGCGAAGCCTCCAAATTCTCAACATATTGTTCCGTCAATAGTAGCCCCACTAGTCTCCCATAATGATTGTCAGCCACCTCTATAACTGCCAAACTATACTATCTACAACTTATTGTACTTAAAAGAGGTACACTTGCATGCTCTGCTATTTTAGCTTCTATGGACACCGACTACTTCTCTTCACAGGGAAGAGTTTCCACACCATGTGGAAGATGATAGAGGACACAAACTTGAGATGTCCTTTTTCACCTTATTTGAACTTGGTCATCTCTGGACATATCAACACCTGCCATATTAGTATTTTGTAATAATGATCTAACCAAGTGTTTTTTTATTTCAAGGATCTTTTATAAAAGATTTATCATTTATGAAATATCATTGGGCTACTTTTTTTGTTTTTATTTCATTACTCGTGTAAAAATTAAAATCCTCTCTATAAATAGAGGCTTGCAAGGATTCTACAAACATATGAATTTTACATAATTATAGGATTTTTTTTTACTTCTCTCTCTCTCTCTCTCTCCCTCTTCTTTAACTTCCTGTGTTCTGTATCACTTGGACCTCTATTTGATTTTTGAGAAATTCAAGCTTTTGTTTATTATGGTTGTCATAGTTTGAGTTGTGTCAGTCAGTTAATGCTCAATTGGTTATCCTGAGAAAGTTTGTGCCTTCATCATTTAATTATTAAAGATCTTCACCTTGAATCAACCATACATTGCCTAGAGACCTTTGTAGTTTCCGCCTTCTGTAAAATTTTTAATAGGCAGGGTCTGAGACGAATACAGATTGGAGAATGTACTCTCTTAAATTTTGAACTTCAGAATTTGCTCTCTTAAATTTTGAACTTTTTAATAGGCAGTAGGCCTAATTATCAGATTTAGTTTTCATTATTTTGTATGAAACCTCTCTACTTATGATGCCTATAAGGAGTCTGCAATATTATCTTCGCATCTTTTTAATTAAGTTAAAGTTAATGTGTAAGATAAAGCTATTATCATTTTAAACCCTCTTACCAATTCCTTTCTTTTCCTGCATTTTTGCCTTTCCCCATTAGAATATTGGATTTTAATTAAATTTTTCCTTGACAATCTGGACTATATACACTTTTCTAGATTTTGCGGTGCTTGAATGTCCTAACTCTAGTCTTTCACTATGCCACTGCCAATATGCTCAACAAAAGTGAATTCCGTAGTATTTCATGTCAATACAAACATAAATTTGACCTTTTGCAGTTTCTTCATTGTTTCTTATGAATTTTAGCTAATTTTATTCTTCTGGAAGCTATAACTTTCTAGAGAGTAGACCAGCAGTAATGTTAGTTGACCTTGCTAATTCAAATACGTTAAGAATTGTACAAAGCTCACTAGTTTATGAACCAATGATGATTATTTTTGGCATAGACACAATCATAGTGTAGGATAAATTGATTGGACCAGGTCCTGGGTTGTCCAAAACAAAATAATGTATTTACTTGTTGTTTTGTTATAATTCAAATACACATTAACAATATAGGTATAATAAAACATTTATCTCTTAATTCTTTTATATTTTTTATTAGTACTGGTTGCAGTTTGTTGGAAAACCAACCTATTAAGTTTTTGTTCATTGATTTGGTTAAATGTTATATTAGTTTCAATTGGACAAACCTCCGTATTAGATTTTTTTAGACATTTACATACATAACACAATTTTAATGTATTTACAATTTTACATATCTCACACCTAAACTTTCATATTCACACAGATAGCACTCATATCTTTAATATTACATAAAAAATAGCACTATTGTCAATTTTTTAAACTGAAATACACCTTTTCATGCATAGTTTCAAGGCATCAAAGTGCTATGCATCTAAATATAAAATTTTAGGTGTGAGAAATGTAAATACATGAGAATTGTGTGCTATGTATGTAAATTTTCCTTTTTTGTAAATGCTAATGAAAAATAATTTAAAAATCTAAAAAGTTTCATGTCAATAGTCTAACTATACGATCCAACTTTGATACTAAGGAACAGCGGTGGCTTCATTTCTACAGGCATTATATGCAGAAAATAATTGTTCGGTTAAACTTCTATTGAATACTAACTTTCTATCATGTTTGATCTCATTGTTTTCTTTCAGGCTTGATTTATATATAAGTCAAATTATGTTGTGGAATTCCACAGCTAGTTTCATTATTATTGTTTGATTTCCATGTTTGTTGCTCATATTAGTGTTAGGGGGAAGCTAGAAATGGCCTTTTTTCCCTCTATAGCACAATTAGTAATTATTATTTTTCTGTGTTGCAGTGCCATGGTTAGTCGCGGCAAACCCGATAAATTATGGCCGCCCCTGTGAATTATCCTGTGTGGAAGCTCTTGCCGCAGCTTTGATAATATGGTACTGTCCATGCTCCTTTATTTTTTTCAAATATGTAATGTTTATCTTTATTTAATCTCAAAACAGTGTGCTGATTTATTTCTATAGGGGATGATTTTTTTTTTTTTAAATTTCAGGAGTATTAGTAACCGTCATTGCTAAGAAGTTTTAGAAAACTTAATTAGAAATCGTTTGTTTGGAGTAAGTAATGGTTTAATGTTTTAATTGCAGATGACAACTAAAGAAAATGTCTGGATAAAGAATTTCGTGCTGCAGTACATGTGCTCTGGTTTCATGTACTGTAATTCAAATTCATAACCATCTTGATGACCTTGATTAAAAGGAAGTTTGAAATGAATTAAAATGTTTGTTTTGGTTTTTTAGCCTGAAATACCCATGGAATTTGTGGTGTTCCTTTCACTGAAAGATAGACTAAAAAAGCAAGTCACCATTAAAAAGCTGCTTCTTTCTCTCTCTCTCTATCTCTATCTCTATCTCTCTTAGCCAGACCATCAAGAAATTTTTACTCAAGTTAGGCACCTTAGCTTTTCTCGTAACTGATAAAATTCTTGATTTTCTGTCAGTGGTGAAGAAGAGACGGCAAATTTGATTATAGGCAAGTTCAAATGGGGGCATTCATTCCTATCTCTCAACAGGCATGCACTTTCAAAAATAGATTTAGTTTCTGTCCGGTTATATAAATTTTACCATTTACTTTCACACCTGACAAAATGGATATTCCTTTGCATCCTGTGGTATCCTGATAATGTGAATGTTTGTTGACTGGCTCCTGTTGTACTTTGTATGAATGCTTCAGTTCTTTGAAACTATATTATGGCTGTTAAATCCTTGGTGAGACCTCCGTGAAGAAAATGACTACAGGATAGTAATTTCTTAAAAGTGCAGAATTATCTAGGAATTTACATACATAATACACAATTCTTATATATCAACATATCTAACACCTATACTATCATATTTACATGTAAAGCAATCAAATCTATAGTAGACTAATTCCTAAAGCTATCCCAAATTTTCGTAGGCTGAGCTTTACATTGTTTATTCAATCTCCAGAGAGCTTCTGAAGGCATATTCCAAATGTGAGAATGGCGCCGAGATTATATCAGTTCAGAATACCTGGCTTTTAAACAACTCAAAAACCAACAAGTCAACTACAGGTGAAGGGAATAACTTCAATAACTAGTTAAACCATGGTTAGGTTAAGAGAGAGATCTTAATTTATAATATATTTATAAATAACGTGTATTGAACTGTAGGGGCTAATGATAAGTCTACCAACACCAACACAAACACAAACACAAACACAGGATCTGATTCAGATGCTGATGATGGGCTTCCACCCCTGGAAGAGAATTTGAACCACTTGATTTTGGAAGATTCTGAAGATTGTGAAGAAGAGAGAGATGAAACGGAAGAAGAAGATGAGGAAGAATCGGAAGGGGCCGTTCCAACTAGTTTAGAGCCAAACATGCATTCTACGTCGGCAGTGAATTAAAATATGGGGAGGGAGATACTTCCCTCTGCTGCATTGATGGGATGTTTATTTATTAGTTTTTTTAGTGTGCCAAGTTTTTGCAGATGTTCTCATACATTGATACAAATCTCAGCTGATCACCTGGTCTAACAAGAGCTAATATTTGTGTAATTGTTCAAGGTTCAAAGTGGTAGGACTAAATATTTATTTATGGCCTGTTTGAGATGGATTAAAGCTGTTTGTAAAATTATTGTGGGAAAATAATTTTTTTTTAAATTATGAAAATTATATATATATATATATATATATTCCAAAAAGTTGGACATCAATTTTCTTGCATTTATAACATTTTAATAAATATGATTATAACTATAATTGTAAATGAAGTCTTGAATGCAACTTTAAGCAGAAAGTTACTCAAACGGTTTTGTTTGCTTTTCTTTCCAACTCATGGAAGCATGGAATTTTATCATGCAAAACTGCTACCTTTAATTCAAGCGTTCTATGTATTTGCGTTATTGTGCACAGAATATTCATAGTAAAGTTTGTATGTAACAATCAGTAAGTTGGCTTAATTACATAAAATAGCATCGGAAATATTGTCATGTGTAAGATGACCATTCAGTACTTTTTTTTCTTTTTTTTGAACTACTGAATTCATGCATTTGCGCAAGTCAAATCAATAAAAAATTGATAAAAATGAAAAATTTAAGTTAGGATATATATATATATATATATATATATAGATATATATTATATATATATTTGTATATATAGCGAATTTAAGAAAATGAGAAAACAGGTAGTTTTGTGAATAGCAATGTTTCAGTTGTATTGTTTGTAAATGCTTAACTTTGTGTTTGATTGGCATAATAATTTCACATTTTTATCTGGCTTCAGGCTGGAAGCAATGTGATTAAACCCGAAAAAAGTTATATTACACAAATCACAAAAAAGTTAATAATTATAAATTTCAAGTATTTTTTTTCCAGCCCTCCATCATATGTATGGGTATTTGCAAACACCACCATCACTAAAGGTAATATAACAAATTCAACCCACATTCCTCTCACTGAAGTCCTTTCGAAAAGGTTGAATTATACATGCAACGAACCATTTACAATTACCTTTAAAACTACTGCTAATGGATGCTTTCTAAGTTCAATTTAATTCAAAAAACTTGCATGAAAAAGAATAACGGATTGCACCTAGCTAACACCTACATTGTTGCCAGAAGGTTCTCCACTGAGTTTTTAAACAACTCACATGGTTCTTATACGCTTGGTTCTCCTAAACATCCTAGTTTATACTTCATTTGAAGCAGCTTCACTGTCCTGCCAATTTCTTTTAAAAGCCACGTTTAGGGCTGTCAAGACGGCTCATTGTTCATGAACAGTTCTTGTTCGGTTCGTTAAGAAGCTCGTTGTCACCTCCCAAAAGAGCCCTTATGGGTGGTGGGCAGCCCAGGACTTAAATACTGTTTTTCGGCCCTACACCTAGCCAATGTGGGACTATTTGTCCGTGACATTCTCCTCCACCCAATCACGTGACGCCCTCGTCACGGATCACCGAGGGTCCCACTGGACCATGGAGAGTCCACACACCTGGCAGGCAGTAGTCTGCTTTGATACCACTTGTCACCTCCCAAAAGAGCCCTTATGGGTGGTGGGCAGCCCAGGACTTAAATACTGCTTTTCGGCCCTACACCTAGCCAATGTGGGACTATTTGTCCGTGACATCGTGCTCGAAACGTTGGCTAAACAAACGAGCCGAACACAAACAATTTTTTTGCGCTTGATATATAAACGAGCAGAACACAGATAAACATTTGTTCATTCGTTTTTGGCTCGCGTTGACTCGAAATAATTAAATTGTCTAAAAGACTATAGAGATTTGTAATCAAATCAAATTATTAATTAAAAAATAAAATAAAAATATATAAAGTTATATTTAAATGATGTTTTAATATAAATAAAAAATGTAAAGCTCGCCCTTAATCTTAAAATCCCACGACTGTGTGATTATGGCTGTTAAAATGGTTCTTCATTCATGAACAACTCGTGTTTGACTCACTAAGCAAATGAGCCAAGTACGAACAAATTTTTGTGTTCGATATATAAACAAGCAGAACACGAAGAGTGATATTTTTTAACTAACCGAACACGAGCTAAGCCTAGGCTTGCTCGTGTTCGGCTCGTTTACAATCCTAGCCGCGTTTGTCGAATTGGAGGAAGTTAGCTGCGAACTGAATAGTGAAAAATTGTCGTTCTCTCGAACGAAGATGTTCGTCTCCCGCTGCTTCACCAAGCAAAAAAGTTTCCAAACATTGGGGTTTACTCCCTCTGAACAGGACTTCACGGCCTTCTCAAATGAAGCCATAAGCTCCTCTCCATTTTTTGAGCTACCTCTTTCTTTCCTCTTCTCTTATGACCCTTCTCTTTCTGATACTAACTAGTTCATTCCTCTTTAATCACCAGACTCAAAGCACTCCTCAAGCCACCCAACCACCCATATCAAGCTCATCCCCACCCCCAAAACAGCAGAAACCCAGTTATCAGCCACCAATAGCAGCTTTCTTTCCTCATCCTCAAAGTTAGATAACAACATTGGAGCCGTCTACCTATGTAACACTCCAATTTTATACTCCAAAATGAAACACAATGCAAATGATTTGCATTTTTTCATGAAAAGGTTCAAAATTGTGACATTTTTTATCTCGTTCAATGATCAACTCGCTAACGCTTTCACAAGGCGCCTTATAAGCCATCTCAATAAGCTTCGTGTCAAGATCGGCATCCTTCCAAGATACACCATTTTAAGGTAGCATATTAGAGGAAACAATATAACTAGCAATCAATGGCCAAGTTTCTTGTAGAACATTTTAAAGATACAATTGAAAGTACAATGTCACCTTCCAAAATATTTGATTCAGTTGTAATTATAAATAATGCATTACTATCACTAACAATTAAAAAAGGAAAAAAAAGAAAACAGAAAATTAAGAGTTGTAAGGTTGATGAGCCAAAATACATAGGATTTGCTAGTTCAATGCAGCATCAACATCTTCTTGACAGAAAAGATCTCACATTTATGCAACCACTTTGAAGGCGAAAAAAATAGGAGGTGCACATTATCCTTTTCTGAATAGACATAGTAAATTCATCATTCATTATTTTAATTGCATCTAGTCCCTTAACTTTTCAATTTCTAGATTATTTAGTCGATTGTATGAAGATAAACTTGTGTGCACTGCTGCCGAGCTTGCGACTTCAGGTTTCAAATTTCAAGCTAAAATTGGATGTGAATCTTTTCAGAGGAGAATCTATTTATCCAAAGCAAAGTTACATATAGAAGTTTCTTATGAAATAAGAAATTTATGTAGTTTCACATTAATAATAAGTGTTCAACATTTTCTATAAATCTATTAAAAATGTTTTTTTTTTTTTTACTTTTGACAGCAAACATTTGCAACAATTAGTCCTAAAGAGTTTCTCCTCCAAACTTTTAGCATTTAGAGCATGATGATGGACCTATAAAAGTGTCAAAACAAGTCCCCACTCTTTCAATTGGGGCAGAAACAATCCCAATAGAGGACTATGAGAGCTCCGGGGACTAATTTGACACTTTTATAAACTCTTGGACTAAAATGATCCATATAAATAGTCAGAGGGACTATTTGATGTTCAAGTTTTTCTTATTTATTTTTCTTTTATTTTAATTCTGTTGCAAATGATAAGAAAAAATGCAATAGAAATTGCAAGTAAAAACCTTGTTTCTCAAAAGACTTTCAAAGTGAATAGGCACCAACACATCCTTATTGTATAAAATCCAAATGCAGTATCTTCAAATGCTGCCCTAATTCCCATTTCATACAGCTACAATACGTTTCCCTATCTTCAATATCTAAAACCCAACAAAGGGAATTCCATCATTCTTAACAACAAATCATGGAAACTTTCTTAATAATCCCAAAAACCAAGAAAGATTTGACCTGTTTTGTCCAGCACTCACTCCAAAATCGCAGTGGCACCAGCCTCCTTAAGCTTGGCGACAATCTGCTCGGCCTCCTCCTTCGTGATCCCTTTCTTGAGAACCACGGGCGCCTTCTCCACAATCTCCTTCGCTTCCTTCAACCCTAGATCCGTGAACGTCCTCACCTCCTTGATCACCTTGATTTTGGCCGCCGCATCGAACTTCTCAAGCTTCACGTCGAACGCAGTCTTCTCTTTCGCCTCAGCCACTGCGGCCGCCGCTCCATCGGAAGCCCCGTCGGCCCCCGATAGACCGGGAGGGACGATTCCAGCGCCGGAGCCCCAGCGGTCGAGGCCGAGTTTGAGACGGTAAAGGATGCTGTAGTCATGACGCTCAATTTTGTTGAGGCTGAGGAGCTCATCGGCGATGCGCTCCAGCTTCTGGGTGCGGGATTCGGCGGCGGAGGAGGAGAAGGGTATTTGAGGGGAAGATCTGGAGGCAAAGAGGCGATGCACTGTCGAATAAAGACGGCTCATTTTAGCAGCCATTTGAGTGCGGTTGCGGGGGGGAGGGAGAACTCGAGAAGAAACTTGCCAATACATCCCCAAATTGCATTTTATTGGGAATGTTCATGGAGGAAATGAATTAATAAAAAACGATATTTTTTTTTTAATTATTAAACTATGATTCATCAGAAAATGGCTAATTGATATATATATATATATATATATTGGCTAAGGTGTCAAGATACAATACCTATTGATATTGGGTGACATTATGGTATAACAATTAAAATCTATTAAATCTTAATTTAAATTTTGTGAATAAACTCAATTAAAGCTCAGTTTAAAACTTATTTATATTAAATTAAATTAAAATTTTAATTCATAGTACATAAAATAAGATAAGTGCTAGTTTCTTTACCTGTATATTTATTTTGTATATTTATATGTTTATTTTAGTTATTTTAGTTATTATAGTAGCAATAGCTCTAGTGATAGAAGTGTGACTTTGGGTAATCAAATTATTAAAAGGTGTGAACGATTTAGATATATTGGGTCCGTTGTTCAAAGCAATGGTGATATAGATGCAGATGTTAATAGCAGAATTCAAGTTGGTTGGTTGAAGTGGAGGAATGTTTCAGGCCTTTTGTGTGATAGAAAAGTAATGCTTAGACTGAAAGGAAAATTTTATAAGACAGAGGTGAGACCTGCAATGCTCTATGACGCTGAATGTTGGCCTTTAAAAGAGAAGCATAATAATAAGTTATGTGTTACCGAGATGAGTGGCTTTACACTTAGAGACAAAATGCGAAATGAATATATTTGTGGTAGGGTTGGTGTATCTCCTGTGACAGGCAAAATTAGAGCAAGTCGTCTTAGATGGTTTGATCACATTAAACGTCTACCATCTGATGATCCGATTAGGAGAGTAGATGTTTTAGATTCAACTTGTGTTAAAAAAGGCAGAGGTATACCTATGAAGACTTGGGCTTATTGTATTAAAAATTATCTTAATTTACTAGAACTAAATGAAAATATGACACTAAATAGGACTCCATGGAGAAAAAGAATTCATGTAGCCGACCCCACGTAGTGGGATTAAGACTTTGTTGTTGTTGTTGTTGTATTTGGTGATTCATTCATTTAAAAGCTAATTTCTTTGTGTATGTGAAATAAATAGTTGATTTATAAGCTCGATAAAACTTGTTGGATTAAAAAATAAAATGCTCTATCATACTACTCATTTGTTTCTTTGATAAGTCTCATTAGGTTATACAATAAATAGGACAATAACACTAATTTTGATTTGCTTAATTAAGATCACTTGGATAGAAATTCAGCAGCTTGATAATACTACTCATTAATGTTCAATAAAAACTTGATTATCATCATAAGAAATGAACATGAACCAAACTTAAATAGTCAAAATGACAATGATATAAGGTTGAATATAAACACAAGAGATCGATTTGAGCTTGAGCACTACTAGAGCTCTAATTTTATAAACAAGTTTAAACTTGAATATACCCCAAAATCTCTATTTGAGCTTGAGCTCGATTTTTATAAGAAAGCATGTTGCATGCTAGAAAATTCGCAGCGATAGAATGATAAATTAGCATCTCAACGTTATTCTAAAATCAAGCACACACATATAATAAAGAAGTGACAGAAGGAGATATCATAATTTTACGTGGAAAATTCTGGAGAGGGAAAAAATTGTGGGGCCTAGCCCAATCGAAGTAATTCACTATGCAATTGCGAGTATATTGGTCAACTCTTCTCCTGAATTAGGAGAGATGAAATTGTAGAAGTACAACAGTAGTTCTGCTTAATAATTGTATATGGGCTAAAACAAATGTAGTTTTTGTTGTTGTAATAGCCTCAACTTATCGTGAAGATCATAGTTGAAAGTCATAGTAATAGTTGGTTATATAATCCATTATTGATAGCTTTAGGATAGTCATTTGTACACAAAGTAGTGAAGAGTTGTAATAGCGGCAATTGATCACCAAAGTCGTAATTCGAAGTTACATGAGTTGTGAGTCGCGTAGGCTATAATGAGCTGAAAGATATTCGTAGGCCACAGAGGTCATAGTTGTGAGTTGTAATAACATTCGTTGGTCATAGAGGCTAGAGTTAGAAGCTATGTGAGTTGTGAATCATGTATGTCATAGTTTGTTACATAGGCTGTAGTAATGAGTTGTAATAACGTCTGTAGGCCACAAGAGTCGAGTTTGTGAACTACATGAGTTGTGAGCCACCTAAGTCATTGTTTGTCATACGGTCTAATGGTGATCTGCAATAATGTTTGAAGGTAATAGAGGCCAGAGTTGGTAGCTATGATAACATATGTAGGCCACGGAGGTGCGGCACTATTTTTGGTGTGGGGTTTGCCCGTAAGAAGCTGTCGGTCATCGGAATTGAAATCGCGTTGCCCGCTTCGGAAGTACGTTTTTTAAAAAAATTTAGTTTTGAAAAAGATGAAGTCAAACTGACCCCATAATTTTCATAGTTTAGATGAAAGAGCACTTTATCTCAAATCATGTATCTATCCCGAAGGATGAACGCAAGAATTGAGAGTGAGGCTC